TATGTTAGAATCATTGAAGTACAGTGTTCTCTCTCATCCTTGCAGCAACAGATTAGATAAGACTATCATTCTACTTCATTGAGATGTTGTCTCTGTAAAAGAGTAACGGTAACAATAATAATATTACCTAACAGTTATTGAGCTGTTAGTTTGTGCAGGGAACTGCCAGACACTTTGCATAGCTTTTCATTTAAGCATCACAGTGGCGTCCTTTGATGCCACTACTACTTGATGCCCATTTTGTTGATGAGGAAATTGAGGCACAGACAGGCTAAGTGAGAGCTATTAAGTGACAGTGTTGAAGTAGAAGTCGGACCCAAGTTGAGCTGAATCTCAAAAGCTTGCCCTTTCTATTTAGACAGGTAGTTCTTCCATTAATGTGGTGAGTGATAAGAGCTAATAAATACTGTTCTTTCCCCATAGAAAGAACTAGGATAAGAAGACTAAATGTTAGTTTTAAACGGGTAGGAATAGCATGCTGTTGAATGTTTAGAATTATGTGAGTAATGTACCTTTGAACTAGTACGCTCTAATTTCCTGGAACGTCCTCTCATGTTCGCAGGACTGCCCTACACTTAGCCTGCAGCAGCGGCAAGTCATCAGTGGTGACTCTCCTCATACAGTGGAAGTGTGATCTGAATGCTCGTGACGAGGAAGGCAAGACAGCTCTCATGAAGGTGTGTAGCAGCCAACCATGTCCATGTGAGGTGGATTCGATGTAATTACTTAGAATAAAAATGAATTTATCTGTTTTAAATATAACGAACTGATGGAACTTGAGGAATGTTAACTTGGAATGCCTAGCACTTACAGTCTGTTTCTTGGCGTGATACCAACAGGCTGTAGAATGCCAGGAAGAAGTATGTGTCACTATCCTGCTGAAACGCGGTGCTGACCCAAATCTTAAGGACAACTGTCAGAACACTGCTCTGCATTACGCTGTCTTGGCTGAAAATACATCAATTGCAACAAAGCTGCTCCGCTATAATGCAGATATCGAGGCGATAAACAAGGTATAGCTCAACTGACTTTATTTACAAGATATTTGAAATATAGGGTCTTTTCTAGCGACAGGTGTTTTATTTATAGTAATACGTATACTGATGACATCAGGCCCTGTTATCATGGAAACAACTCCGAAGCCAAGGCCAGGGGCTAGAGGTAGTGCCCACAGAAAGGGCAGAGCTCTGTCGCCCAGCTGCACTTCTACCCCAGAAGAAACAGCTTCCCATTAGGAAGTGCCTGGGAGTGGGTGGTAGGCTCAGAGCCTACAGAAGGTGATGGCTTGTGAGCAGTGAAGTGATGGCAAGGGCTGGCTTCCTGCCTGGGGATGGGTGGGAGGAGGAAGGAACCCAGTACCCAGCAGAGGGAGCTGGGTAACTGCACCTGGGCAGGGGAGGTGGCAAACCACAGGCCGTGAGCACCCCAGGATCCCAGGTTCTAGAATCTGGGCAAGTGAGGTCAGGTCATGTTTGACAGCCAACAAGGGTATTCACTTGTGCTGGTGACCACATGGCCCTCCATGTACATCTCGGCGTCTTCCATGCTCAGCCTGGTGTAGCTCCCCTGCAGGGCTGTGGCTGTAGGTGGGGAGCAAGTGATGGCGAAGCTTGTCCTCCTTCTTTTTCTCCTGGCTCTCCGCTGGAGATTTTGATTGAATGAATCTACTCAGGTCTGACACAAGTATTTAGAAATACTTCCCTGAAATTCTGATACAACCCTTGGTTAAGGACTATTGAATGGATATGTGTAATACATGTAAATTCACAGATCTCAAAAATAAGACATCACTGGAAGAGCAGGGGTTTGATAGATGCCGCTTCTTTCAGTGCTCTCCTTTCCGGCCATGTTAGCCTGACTTTTATCCTTCTCTTCCTCTGTGATTGAGGAATTTACCGATAATACTACTGGCAATATCTATTGCCTTGAAGAATAGCTCCTTTTCCCTTCTAACCACTGATCATTCAGTGGCACTCAGACAGTCTTAGAAACTTGGTTGTGGTGAGTGATTACATAAGTAGAGTTGGACTCTTTAAAGATTATGCACCTTTTGTTCCCATCCAGGTCATTAGGTCAACAGGGTGTTTCTGATTGCAGTAATTGGAAATCATGAGCCTTCTTTTGGTTAAAGCTGTGTGACAGACTCTTGCAATACATCTGTTAGAGTCACTGAGCCCTAGCATAATCAAGATGACAGTTTTTTTAAAATTAAAGTCTAGTTGATTTACAGTGTTGTAACAGTTTCTGGTGTACAGCAAAGTGATTGTATTATATATATATATCTCCAGTTATATATATGTATATTCTTATTCAGTTATATATATATACACATATATATTCATATTCTTTTCCATTATGGTTTATTACAGGATATTGAGTATAGTTCCCTGTAGTATATACAGTAGGACCTTGTCGTTCATCTATTTTATATATAGTAGTTTCTATCTGCTAGTCCAAAACTGCTAATTCTTCTCCCACCCCCTTTCCCCTTTGGTAACCGTCAGTTTGTTTTCTATGTCTGTGGTTCTATTTCTGTTTTGTAAATAAGTTCATTTGTATCATATTTTAGAGTCCACGTATCAAGTGATATACTTTGGGATTTGTCTTTCACTTTCTGATTTACCTCACTCAGTATGATAATCTCTAGTTCCTTCCATGTTGCTGCAAATGGCATTATTCCTTTTTTATGGCTGAGTTGTTTTCCATTATATATAAGTATACCATGGAAGATGGCAGTTTTAAACATCAAGACCCATGACATTAGTAACAAATTGGAATTGTTTTAATAATTTAGTTTTGGCCGTCTTACGAACTAATTATCCATTTGATTAGCAATCAGGGAGAATTAGATACAGGTAGATTGTAGTTTTAGTAGGCATTGGAAAAATTCTTGGAGTGGGTATTATGAGTCTTAATCACAATTTTTATTACATGTTGGGGCCCAGTGTTTTTGTGTGTAAGACATATGATTCTAAAGAAAGGCAAGGTTTTACATACAAATACTTGATTTATACGCAACTGTTTGGAAACACAGCAAACATAACAACACAAGTGGGCTATACACTAAACATGGCCCTGGGTATGTTCAGATTGTCTCCACACACTGAGTCAACATTTAAAATTTAGGAGACTTGTGCCAATATCTGCACTTCAGAACTTCTCCTAAAGAATCAAATCTGGTCCCCCTTGAGCCCAGGCTCCTATGCGGTCTGCCCTGCAGAGGTGGCCCCTTCTCGGTGGGGCGTGTGTTCTCCGGTTTGCTGTCCTCACATGGGACCTTCACTTACTCGGGCCGCTTATGTTGCCTCTGTAAGCATTTGAATTTACAATTCCTATTGTATATTTTGATAAATATTTCAAGATTTTAAAGGCAATCTATATTAATTTATAGGCTACTTCATATTTTATAATAATCCCTTAAGAGTGGGATGGAATTTTTCAAATTAGAATTTGTAAGTTGGTTTAAGAAAAACTTTTTCTTTACATGCAAATAATCGTATACCCATTGGAATGTCTGCAAGCTTTATGAGATTAGTCATAGTTGTAATTGGATAGGTTATGCTTATTGCAGACAGTATGGTATCTTTCTCCTCAGCGTGGCTCCTTAGAAATGTAGTTGATTCAGTAGCTAAATGGTTCTCTCTGGAGCAGTGCTTAGAGTGTCAGGAGTAGTAGTTGAGCAGTAAGGTAACTAGAGAATGCCTGACACACACTGCGATAGAAGCAAAGGTTCTTGAAACCAGCAAATGTCTGAAGTGAGTTTCAGAGAATGACTTCACAGGGAAACTTTTGAGGAGGTCAAGGAAGAACCTTTTAAAGAGAAGGGCACAGAGGGGCAAGGAGGAAGGGGCTACTTGTTATTTACTTTATAGTATATATTTAAGTTCAGAGACTTAAGTTTTTAAATTCAGTTTTGAAATTTATATGTAATTTTGTACATTATCAACTATTTTTACTATTTTACAGTATAACTTCACACCATTTTTACTCGCCGTCAGGGAGAACAAAGAAGAAATGGTCAAATTTTTGATAGAGAACGGGGCAAATGTACATGCAGTTGACGATTTTCAAAGGTACAATAGTTTGCGCTCGCTTTCTCTCTTTTTTTTTTTTTTTTAAATCTTAATGTAGTTCTAGAGTAGTAACAGCCAATCAGAAAGATTAAGTTAATAAGAGGATTAACTTAGAATCAACACATCATCAGTTAGGTAGAAAAGCAATTATTCTGCCTGGTGTCACAAAGAACAGTATGCAGCAGGATTCATCTTCCTTTATGATAGTGGCTGATGTCATTTGCAACCTGAGTTTTTTGGTCATACGATCTTACAATAGTTCAGGGATTTCATTTTTAGTTTTATTAGTATGGACTCTAATTTTAATTTAACTTATGAGACAGTGTTGAATTTCTTCACTCTTTTATAATTTTTTAACGTCTAGTTGGCATATATTTTTTTCTTAAAAGATGCATATTAAACAGAGAGGAGTTTGTTTTGTCTTTTGGATGATTCTGCTTTAAATTGCTTCCTTTGAAGGATACTGATGTTATTAGGTTTTCAATGAGTATCACTAAGAGAGTAACTATGACCAGATACTGTGGGCTGATCAGCTTTTATCCTTTTTCATTTCTAGTACAGTTTGATTTTTTATTTTTAATTGATACTGGTAGAAGGAAGAAAAACAGCTTTAATTATTGAATAGACATTCCCTTTAAAGAAGACGGGTCATTGGTGGATGATAAAGAGGAAGGAGCTGGGCTTTAGAGTCAGACGAGGCTGAATTCCCAGCTCTCCTGCTGGTCAGGTGTGTTACCTGGGGGACATGACTTATTACCAACCAGTATGTTTCCTGACACATAAAGGAGGGTCGTAGTACATCCTTCAAGGGCGGTTGTGCCTAAGAAAGACCATACGTATACTATTCAGGTTAGTGCCGGGCACATGCTTCTCAGCGTGATTCACTGCAACCGTGACTATTTTTATTGCCATTTTTATTCATGTTACTGTTTTCAGCTTGCAAACAGCTTCTCCTTACCTGACCTCTAGCTGATTTTAAAGTATTAAATGTTTCAGACTAGAGAAGAAGTGGGGAATCCTTTATTTAAATCTTTACTTGCTTCAGATAAGTGATCTCAGCATCCTTTCTTGTCCATCAAAGGACTTTAAATTAGCCACTTCTACTGTGTGCTACCCAAGTAGGACAGGAGGCTTCTTTTTTGTCCCTCTGTTTTGGCCTTGGAAGTGATTTGCAAAGATGAGCACTCGAGCGTGTAAATGGTCAGTTCTCCAGGGGTGGGCAGGATATTAACTTGGTAAACTAGATCAGATTAACTGTTTGAGTCACGCTAACTAAGATCCTAAGGGTGAAGTTGTCTCTTTTGTTGTAGATCAGCACTGATGCTTGCTGTATTTCATGACTCACCGGACATAGTCAAGCTACTTCTTCAGAAACGTGTTAATGCCGATTCTCGAGATTTACACGGAATGTCTGCTGAAAGATATGCTCGTCGTAATGGTTTTAAACTGTAAGTGTTTACATTAAAATGCCAGTTATCTCTGAACTGAGGTTGAAAATGACCTAACTGTGACTTGTTATGTGACAGGTGAGAGTTCCTAGTTGGGAGCAGGCACTTTGGGGATGGCAGTGAGACCCTCCCCCATCACCAGCTGGAAACCAGCAAAAGGCCAGACTAGTGAGATGGAGCAGTGGGCACAGGGTTCTTTATCTCAGGGTTTGTAAGACGTTTATCCTTAGGGTCCTGCTGTTCTCCATTTCATTCCAGTGTAACCCCAATGCATGGGGTCCAAATAATGTCACATATCTGAATTTTCTAACTAGTTGTTTGGGTCTTGAAATGTTTAGTAGAGCAGAAAATCCTGTATTTTCCTTTGGGGACTTTCTTCTATAATCTTCCTCTTGAGTTTTCCAGGAACCTAAGGGATTCCCTAAGAGCACAGTGACAGTCCTCTCCCACAAGGCATTGGGGCAGGGCGAGGGCATGCTAATCATTCTCTTGTTTCCCTTTATTCTGTTGCTGTAGTGTTGGTACTAAAACTGGTTTTAACATGATCTCGGCAGCTGGGTCTGGGGTCTGGATGTTGCTCTCCAAAGACCTTTAATAAAACTTTAAAAGAAGAAAAGGAAAAAGACACTGGTCCTGCAATCGGGTCGTGATTGACCTCTGCTCCCGGGATGCCTGTGCTGATCCAGTTTCCGCGGTCTTCGTGGTGATAGACACGTAAACTTCAGCGTGACGGCTTGTTTAGTTCTCATACATATGCTTGTATGAGGTCATATATTTATAAATAAATGTAGCTACAAGTTATATAGTAGCTGAGGTGCCCTGAAGTATAAACCACGAAGAACAGCTAATCACCGTAATTTGTAACATTTTCTGAAAACTGCCACATTTAAATGTTACACCTATAAAAAACACACGTTGGGTTTTATTTGGGATTCTCAAATAGTTCCAGCATTTAATTTCAAGAAGAAGTTATTCCATTCTTCCACTATTTCTCCGAGCATCTGGGGGATACATTATCTCATTAAATCTTCATAATACTCTTTTGAGTATTAAAAACTAACTGCCTGATCAGTAAGATCACAGTTTTATAAAGGAAGCTTTGAGGTGAAGAGAAGCACCTTTTCCAGGAACAAATAGCTGTTGGGTATAAAGAGCTGGGACTTCTGAGTTCGAGATACTTCCAAATGTCAGGCTCGCTCTAGTTAACTTACTGAGCTGTACTGCCCTCAGTTCATGACTACTTCACCTTACTGTTTTTTCTTTTTTAATTATACGTGCTAAATTTAAAAGTTTGTAGATTGTACAAATTTGAAGTGTATGGGACAATTGAAGTTTTGATATCACCTCTGATACTGTCTGAAATAATCTAAGAATTTAATATAATTGGTAATTGTTTTTCATATTAGTATTCAAGTAGTAATATTTACTTATGACATTTTTTTATACATAGCCTTTACCAGCTGATTGTCGACTACAGAGCAGGAAAGATACCAACTACTCCCCCTCAAAGTAGCGACCTAGGACAGAGTTCTGGTAATAAGTTACTCTTATTGGGCCTACCATAGATAAGGAAGTAAGATTGAGGAAATTTTGATAATGAAAGAGCAGTGAAAAAAGCCAGCGTGTAAATTTTGTGTATGTTTTTATTTTTTAATTAATTTTTTCTTAATGGTCTGGTATTCAGAATTATTTAAGAAGTTAATTATAGGTAATTTAAAATCTGAGACAGTATTGTCTGAAAAGAAATTCATTTATTTAATCCTGGCCCCTGAAACCCCATATTATATCTTTATGTAAATAAGAAAAGTAGGTTTTTAACTTTGTTGTACATTTCCTGTAACATTATAAGAAGTTGGCCTTGTTACAGAACTGGATCTTTAATTTTTACAGCAAATGGATCACAGTGGGTAAATGAATGCTAGTTATTTCATAGTGATTAGCCTCACTAAAAAGTGATTGTCTTTAAAACTGGGAGCTCGGCAATACCTTCCTGGTGCTGTAAACAAATGGCCAACAGTTAGAACTGCACAGCTGGGCCAGTGTGCAGCATACTAATAAGAGATTGTTTTTTAAAGATACCTAGTGATAGGGCAGAAGTCAGGAAAGCAGTGCCTTGTTGAGAAGCACTGGTTACTTTCCACATCATTACACCACCAAGATCTCTCTCTCTCACCAATTTCATTCTCCAGAAGTGCAAACAGAATGAGATATGTTGACTTCATGAGAGTCAGATGTTTTCTTCTCTTTTTTGGGATACTTGTCATGAAACTATAATTCTGTTAGAACAAGATTTTCTGTTGCCATTAGTTAAAGGATTGTCATAATAAATACTCAAATAGCACAACTCAGGACTCAACAAATTGTAATAAAAGCACAGAAGTGCTTCACATAAAAAAAAGACTACATTGCCTAGGTGTGACTCCTTGCGTGCTGTTCAGTGTGAACTGTATGAGGGCACCTTTAACTTGGTAGATTTTGATCAAGCAAAGAACTTCTGTTGTAGGAAGTACAGAGATGGAATAGACAGAGTTTTGGTCTTCAAGGTGCTCATAACACAACAGTTGTCCCTGGTTAATGTCTGTATTTTTTTAAACAGGACTTACAAAAAAAACTTT